CTAAAGCTAGTATTTCCCATATTTATACAAATTCTTTTCTCTAAGATAGTGCCCAGTATAAGTTTGGGAACCCTGACTTCTGAAGTCCCCTGAGTTCACATATTCTAAATAGGGATTTGACAGCCAACCAGCAGAATGAGGGTCCATCCCAGTTTGCGGTTGACCTGAAAATGTGTGGGTTGGGGAAGAAGTGTACATGGGGCATAGGCCAGTGAGACCTCATAGATGGTGTCCCATGGCTGGAGCTTCACTGACATGATTTTCTGATGTTGGCTGAGAGTAAGAAAAGTCAAGGAATCAGTCTGAGTTGTGTTCTAGAGAGGATGGAGGGTTGAAACTAGAAAAACCAAATTCCAGAGACTAAGTTTTCAGTCAGGAAGAGAAAGTTAAGCTAAGAAGATTTAGGAATTGGGTAGATGCAGGAACAGAATGAGGAATGAAAAGCAAGGATGGATGATAGGAGGTATCAGAAGCATAAAGGATAATTGCCTGTCATTGAGCTGGGGTGTCCAAGGCTGGTGTCTCTGGGGAGGTCAGTTTATGGTAGAGGCTCTGGAGTGTACAAGTGTTGACTGTTAATGGCCTGTGTTTCAAGTATAAGTTCTGTCTCTGTATGATGAAGAGGACTATTTCAGTTAATCCTTGGGTACTCAAGCAATATGAGGTTTTCTAATTACTAGCTTACCCTGGATGTAACTGTCAGTTGCATAAAAAAATATTTACAGTGGCCTGGCATTAATATTTACAATGAGTATATATGTGGAGCAACTGGCACAGTGCTTTGCCAACAGTAGATTTTTCAGTAACTTTTTGATGAATTCAAGGTATTTAATGTTCCTGGAAGCTGTGGTATGTTCAGCCCTCACTCAAGCTCACGCAGCAATAAGTTAGGGTGTTCATTCTGTAAGACAGTTACCGGTCTAGGTCTTATGCCATGAATTGTGCCAGGGTGTTGATACACACAGTTAAAAAATATATAGGTCCAGCCCTCAGAGAACTATTTTAAACCCTAATGGAGAACACTGTATTGATTAGTTCCATCAGAGTTAATGTCCAACTCTCCTTATCAATACTTTAAGGTTTGCTTAAAAAATGACATCGTAAAGCAGGAGTTCTCAAACTTGGCTTCACATTAGAATCACCTGGGTAGCTGATGCCTGGGTTCTGTTGCAGGCCAATTAAATCAGAACACTTGGGTTTGGGCTTTTGCATCAGCAGTCTTTAAAAACATCCTAGGTTCAGACTGTGTTGAGAACCCATGTATTAGAGGGAAGATACAGAGTCAATTGGGAAAAACTAGATCAACACAATGAGTGAACTGTGTACTGGGTTTTAAACACTTAAGCATATCTATAAGTATGAAGACAACAAGTTAAGACTATAACACATAGTTACATAGGTCATCAGTTTTGTTCTGGTGTTAATTACCAATCTCCCTTCATTAGGGTACTGATAAAAACCCATAGCTGGTTTTGACTGAATTAATATCTTTGTTCTGGTTTTGTTATTGACTCTGATCCAATATATTTCTGTCTTCTATTTCTGTTTCCTGTTTTTTCTTACCCTTCATCATTTCCATTGGTATGAATTTTTATTGCAAAGTTTTCTTGTTTACTCATTCTACAACTACTATAATTCAATCATGAAATATAGCAGTTGTTCTTAGATCTAGCTTAATTTTAATCACCTGGAGAACTTTTAAAACCGCTGATGATTAGGCTTCACCCCAAACCGCTTAAATCAGAATCTCTAGAAGTGAGACTCAGTCATTGGTAGTTGTTCAAAAGTGTTCCAGATGATTCTATGTACAGCTGGGATTAAAAACCCTAGTGTGATTGATTGTTATACCTATAATGGACCCCAAAGAATTATGCCTCCCTGTGTCCACAGACTTTTGCAATGTGACCTCTCCCATCAACTGGTGGAGTCTATTTTTCCACCTTGACCATAGGCCCTTAGCTGACTCTCCAGGTGAATACAGCACATGAGTGAGGACAGGTGAGGTCAGAAGAGGAACCACCCAACCAAACTGTCAGAATTGTAAGAAGTAATAAAAAAATTTTAAGCCATTTAGTTTAGGGATGGTTTGTTACGCAGCAAAGTCTAACTGAAATATTGTACTGTGGGGGCTTTTTATTATAAGCTATGACAAAAAAGCACTACTCTTGATTTTTTTTCTTTACTTCTATTTTTATTGCTATTGCAAGAACCACTCTAACAAGTGCCTCTGAAGCTGTTTCTATTCTCCCAGGATTCTCCTTCAGACTCTTTTACTACTGAAAGAATGAGATTTAGGCAGAAAAAGAATTTCGTGTCATTGTACGTTTGTACAATGACACGAAATTCTCCTTATAAGCTCGGTACTTTTCCAGTCTGATTACCAAATGTTTCCTTTACAACTATAAAGATCAAAGGAACCACCTGCCCCAGGGGCCATGGCTTAGGCAGACTTTCATAACAGTACATGCGGATTGCATCAACACATTCTGAAATTTGCCAAGACTCAGTTTCACAAGCTAAGGTCCAGAATAAAGAAATCCCCTTGCTTTAGCAAGATGGTCACACACAGATTGATCCAGGAACAATTTGAAGCCTCCACTCAATTTGCTTTGTGTGGGTCATGTGAAAGAGTTGTAGTTTGTACCTTCACTATGCTATCAGTGATGAAAATTACTATACTTTTGCCTTAATAATAATATTGACTATTTTAACAGGTCTAGTTGGAATGTCTACCTTGTGAAATCAGCAGGGAATAAAAATAAGAGTTGTCTATCTTGTTACTTGCTAGGCTGGTGGGAAGAAATGTCATGAACCTGGAGTCCAAAGACAAGGGTTTGACACAGTTCTATTACTTACCTATTGTGTAACCTTGAGTAAATTACTAAATATTTAAATCTTAGTTGACTTATCTATAAAATCGAGATAAAAATAACTATCTCCAGAGTATATCTAAGGATCAGAAAAGCATGTATAATATCCCTTTGCAATCTTTAAAGCTTACTTTAAATATAAGATGTTATTACTCTTGGTATAGATAGCACCAAGAAAGAATATGAAAAAGTTTCTCTGACAACAGCTGAGAAAAGTCACTCATATTCTCACAGCATTAGGGAAAGTAAATACTTTATATGGCTTCACAGTTTTCTTTAATCTCTGAATCTCAAAGCACCTTGCAGAACACTTTCATTAATTTATAAAACCCCATGAAATACATTTGTTCCCCCTTAAACTTCTTTTTAAACAGGGTACCTTTTCTAGGACATATAAATTTAAGCCTAACCCACTAAAGGCCCTCAGATTTTTGAATGAATAGAGGGGTTCTGATCCTTTTTTTATGTTGTAATTTTTGTGTCTTATTTAAAATGTGCAAGTCTCTTGATCTTGTCTGTCTTCCCTTGAAGCCTTTCCCTTGATGCTTTGATGTAGTGAACATGTCTGTGAAACTCAAATCCTAGACAGGTGGCAGCCTTTTCATTCCTTACATGTTAGGGATAGGGTTTGGAGATAATTTATTAATCTCTTTCTCCCTTAAGTGTTTGAAAGATACCCACTAAAAATATGTGAACCAGATTCTTATATTTCCCAGGTTGAATTCTGATTAGATTTTGAGCCCTTGCAGGCTGCATTTGACTCTTTGGCTCCTTGACTAGCATGTAGGATTTTTATTTTTTTTTCGTTACTAAGTGATAGTCTGCTGATATGAATGAGCTAATGGGGCTTTCAGCCAAGACTTATTTAGAACTAAAAGACGTAGCTATAATTATTCTCTGTATTTCTATGGTTTCTTTTTCAAGTAGTTTAGAGAGCCCTGCGTATATTATTTAATCTTCCTAAGTAAGGTGAGCCAGATGAATTATGTTATTATTATATTAGAAAATTTTCCTTTGCTTCAACTTTCTATTGTTATATCTTCTGGCATCTTTACTTATCTTCCTAATATTTAATGATCTGACTTTTTCCGTGGATGTTCCAAATTGTTCTCTTTACCCTGTTGAAATAAACCTGATTTCTGTCTGTTGCCTCAAACTCTGCTCTTAAAGGATAGGGTATGGATGTTTATAGATAATTTACATATATGTCCTAGTTCAAAGAAGGGCCATTAACCGTGAATTTCTTAGTTTGAAACGAGTAGTGCATGAGAGAGGATGATACACTTGGGGGACACATGGACCTTTTGCTATTCTTCAAAATAAACCACATAGATATTTGCTTATGTGTAAAACTTATGCTATTCATATCTTCTTTTAGACAGAAATTACTTGTTATAAACTCTATTTTAGGGTGAGGGAGACTGAGGTACAGTACAGATTGATAACATAAAAAGAAAACATAAGCCAATTTTTGGTAGGTTATGATTCTGATTATTAATGGTTATGGCCTAATATCTGCTTTCGACAGGATCTCACTTGTAGAGATTTGCAACACCCATGCTGAAACTTCGATCAGATAATTAGAGCACTTTATTTTTTTTCCAGTTTTTTTTCTTTCTTAATTGGGGTATAGTTGTTTTACAATGTTGTGTTAGTTTCTGCTGTACAGCAAAGTGGAGTTCCCTGTGTTATACAGCAGGTTCTTATTAGTTATCTATTTTATACATATTAGTGTCTGTATGTTAATCCCAATCTCCCAGTTCATCCCCCCCCCGCCAACTTTCCCCAGTTAGAGCACTTTAAATTTGAGACTGCCAGAGGTTTATCAAACGGATTTTTCTTCATAAATTTTACTGAATGATTTCCTCTTTAACTCGACACGTTTATTTCAGGGAGTTTTTCATATTAGGCCAGTCGAAAGATGAGCCTTTTTTTTCTGAGGATTTCTTTCTGTCCTGGAGACACACAGACATACTCACACAACTGAGGTCTTGGTTTTGAACTCTGGTAATTATTAATTCAGTGGTTTGAGTAAAGTACATGTACAGGTGATGTGAGTGGTTAAAATACCAATAATGTTTACTTCACTTACAAACATAGGACCTTTTCCTCTAAGCCTCAAATTCACTATCTAATTGCCAGAGGATTGTTCAGTTTCATGTAGGATTGTACCTCCATGGACCTCTTCTAGAACTTATTCACAGGAGACTTGAGCAGAGGTCATGCTGGCTTGTCTAAGTAACTTTTTATAAGAGAAGAGCATGATTGCCTCCTTCCAGGGAACTGGCATTCATCGAGAAAGGTTTGCTTTTCATGGCTTCCTTGGTGGGAATCATTGATTTTGGGGGATGCTGCTCAGAGTCTCTCCACTTCTCTTCTCTCTGTGTTTTTTGCTTCCATCTATGACTTTCTTTGAAGTGCATTTTTTCCTGATTGGTCTGACTAAAGGTAAGTCAAACTAAAACACAAGAAGGAAATAAACATTTATAATGAAATGCCTCCTTAGAAAGAAGAATAATTTCTTAGCATACTATTATAAAATAAAATCTCTAAATAAAAGATATTTTGGTGTTTGAACTCAATTGGCACTCTTCTCCTTTGCTGGAATTGTTTATCACAGTGAAAACACATACATTCTGGCACAGGTACACCCCAAGCTTGAAGAGAAGTTTATCTTTTGACAGATAGATGCTGTTTTTGCAGTTTGATTAAGTGTTCCTTTGGCTGTTTGATATAGTAGAAAGAGAGAATGAACTTTGAAGTCAAAAGGGCTTGGGTTTGAATCTGTGTTCTGCCACTTATAATTTTACAATTTTAGGCAAGTTAGTTAACATCTTCAAGCCTGTGCTTCTTTCTCTATTAAAAGGAGGTTAATAATATCTACTATATCAGAGTACTTTAAGAAATGAGACAATGCAAATGAAGGCATATGGCACATGCCAATCTTAGTGAGTTCTAAATAAATATTAGTTACTTCTTCTCCTTCCTGTTTTATGTTGGCCAGAGACTAATGTGGTATTTTGCTTATTAAGATAAAATTAAAGATATAAAAAAGTAAATATGGAGGCATAGAAATATAATGAATTTTACTGTCATTTTGGACTTTGTAGGGTACTTAGTTAATCCAGGGAACCAAATAGTTATATATAAAATAATACCATATTCTTGTGAGATAGACAAATAATATTAATAAATTCATTCATTTGCACTTTTTTTGTCAAATATCTATTAAGTGCTATTATTTGTTAAGTACTGTGCAAGGTCCTTGAGATACAGTGGTGAGGAACATAGACATGGGTTCTGTAGTTGGCCTGCTAGGATATTTTCAGTTTTTAAATAGGAAAAATTAAGAAGGAACCCACTTAAGGAGCACTGACTTGGATCTCAACTAATATGTAATCCCTGGTATCATATCTCAAATGGGATTTATCGTCATCTTGTAGCCAGTTTACTTCTCTTAGTTTCAGTCAGTAACTGGGAATTTTTCCTTAGACTATGCCTGGAAACTCCATGGATATGAAGGTATTCCAGGTTTTTCAACCATTACAAGGAACTTTGAGTCAGATTTAGTTTAGGTCAGTTATAACTCTGGGACCACTTAATATAATATTAAAAGAAGGGGTCCATTTTTTTCCTCTTAAGAAAGCAATACTGACCAAAGCCAGTTAGTATTCCCAGAAGAGCTACAATTCACCATTTTTGTGCTAAAGAGATCTACCTCATCCTTACCCCTAGGAGGAAAGCTTGGCATGAGGGTGGGATTATGTTTCCTGTGTTACTGCACTTTTTGCTCCTGCTGGGGCAACTTGCCCCATCTTCTGGAATGATGAGAATGAGGTACACATCAAAATTGCTGCTTAATCATTTTGTTTAGTGCCTGTGGGTGATGTCTTAAGCCAGAGGATGGTTGACAATAACCGCCAAAGATATTTTTTTCCCTTACGTGTTGTCTCTTCCTTTCATTCTCTCTCTTTTTTCTTTCATTTCCTTTGTTACTCTCACCCTTTCTCTTTTTCTCATTTGTTTTCTCTTCACCTCTGACGGCCAGCAATTTAGTTTGTTGGAGTTTTGCTGTTGTGTGAGGTTTAATCGTGTCCCCAGGAAGAGGGGTAATTATTAAACCACTGGAAATTTAATGATGGGTATTTATTCCCCAGCCTTAGTCATTTTGGTGTCTGGGGTTTGGCATGTCAGTCAGTGGAAACCAAAGTGGATAAATGTCATCAAACCGCACGTGATTTTCCAGTGATTTACGTGTGTTTGTTGTACTCCAGATGGGCAATTACTGATGCCCTGCTCTGCCCTTTATTTGCAAGCCTCTCATGATCAAAATAACAAAGACTTAATAAAACAAGTTCACCTCTCCACAGTGGTGGAAAACAGGTGTCAGTTCCCTCAGTATGAAGTCAGTTCTTTCTAACACTGTGTTCTGCTGTCACATTTTCTTTTTGGAGGTGCTTAAGTCAAGACTCATGAGCTTCTTTTTTTTTTTAATATTAAAAGTTGTCTTTCCATCTAACTTAAGAATTCAGATCCTTAGGAAAAAAGTTGGACTTTATATTTTCCAATGAATTAAATGTTAACCTTCTAACATATGTATTTGCTTACTTATGATTAGTTTTGTTGTCTGTCTCCTCCCACTAAGATTTAAACTCCTCAAGGGCAGGGATCTTTACCTCTTTGGTTCACTAATGTATTCCATGTGTTTTAAAACAGTGCCTGCATGTATTAGGCACCCTGTTAATATTTGTTGAATAAATGCTGAATGTATGAATGCTGCAAAGTCCTTAGTAGAAGACTTGCCTGAAATTACTATTCTCATAGAGGGGAGAGACTTGTGTTAAATTTGCCACTTTTTATTCATGTAAACTTAACAAGTTACTTAACCTTTCTAAGTATTCATTTCTGTATCTGTATAGTGGGTTTTTTTTGAAGATTAAGATTAAAAGGGATTAATTACATAGGATAATGTATGAAAATTTAATCAACACGGTACCTGGCATATATGGCCCATGCTCAAGAAATTGTAAATGTTATGAAGGTGTTGCTCTTCAATTTAATGTTGTGCAGTTGTGACAAGTATATAACTATGCTCATGAAAGAGAGGAGTTTTTTTGATGATCTTTTTTCTGTTTTAGCTGGAGCTCCAGTGGAATGTAAATTTAATAAAGGTAGGAATTTTGCATGTTTTTTTTCCTTGATGTATCTTGACAATTAGAATGGTGCTGGGAATATAATAGGTACTCAGTAAATATTTGTTGAATGAATTATTGAATGTTTAAGATGGGAATTAGCTTTGCAAGCCTAACCTTCTGAGCCCCTGTGGTAACTAGTTGAATTAATGGCAGAGATGTCAAAATACTGTTCTAAAAATGCCTCAGTTTTTTCATTGTGTGGAATGGAGGACCACAGAGGAAGGTCCTGAGAACTAAAAGTGAAGGGGAGGAGGAGTTGGAAATTATCTAGCCGTTCAGGCCATGCAGAGTTATTTTGGGCAATTCAGAATCAAATGGACTTTTTATATTCTTACTGCATTTGACTTTCTAAAATACTTGGATATACAATACTTAATTTCACTTCATATTCTATAGCTTTGTCTAAAACAGAGCATTTTATTTAATTTTTAGCTTCTTTTAGGTAACTGTCTTGGTGGTAGGCATGTAGGTTTGAGGAGAAAAGATACTGCAGCCTCATAGGTAAATATACCTTTCTGGTCCCTGCTGCAACCCTGGGCTCTGAAAATTCAAAGGGCACACCGAAGTGTAGGTCTTCTATGAAATTAAAACAAAACAAAACAAACAAATTTTTGGCCTGTTTCCCACCTTGCTAAATCAAGTTGTTCTGCTAAGTGACTACTTTGATCCGCTGTTATGTTTTCAAATGATTAAGGGGGTCTTCAGTGTTCTACTTGTAACAGAACATTTAATGGTGACCCTCTATGGCTACTTTTTAAAAAATTGTAGCTTGTTAAAACATTTTATTGTTTTTTTACAATAAAATGGATCATCAACTAAATTTCTCAAAAGAATCTATGTCTGGCAATTCACAGCTATGTGATTTTGACATTTTCATATGTTTTTCTAAGGTTCAGGTTTTGGTTTTGTTGTTTTGTATTCTAACAAATATAATTCCTTTCCATTAAATTAAATATTAGCAATCAGAAGTATTTCTGTTGCTATCCTTAAAGTATTTTAAGTCATGCTATTGTTTTATTTTTATTTTCTTTATCTATTATTTTAGAGGATAAAACATTTTAGATGAATTTTGCAACTGCTGAAATAAAGCCTGAAACTTCCAAAAATAAAGATTCTGAATAGTTTAGGTTTTAAAATATGTTCACAGCGGCAACTCAGGACAGTGAGAGTTGCAGACACCTTTGAGAATATCATGTCCATATCATGTGGATAAATTTAAATAATAGAGATTTATATTGCCTTGGGATAACCAATATTTTAACATAAAATTTTTGAAAATCCAACTTGTTTTGTAATCGTAGGAAGAACAATTTCACCAACGCCCAACTGTTAATTCAGTTTGAACCAACTCCTAAAAAATTGAGCCACCAAATATTCTCCTACACTTATATTTTGAGGGTTTTTTTTTCCAAAATATATTTGCTTTTAATAAGTATAGGAAAGCAGGGAGTGCTTAGAAATTTTCAAGGCATGGAATTGGAATGGACGCAGAAGTATAGAAATGTCAGAATTACACCACAGAGATAAGAAGGTGTGTGTAGTTTTGAGGAATATTAATCCTGGGGAGTGAGATGCAGTGTGACTGTAGCCTGTGATTCCACCAAATCCTTAGTCATTACTAAGAAGGGCAGTTGTCCTGAAGTCAGCTTCTTTATCTTCTGCGTTGACAGAAAAAGCAGACACAGTCCGGTGACAAGGAAAACAGATTTATACTTACAAAGTTTGAAAGTTGTTTTTCAAGAAAGAGAACATACCAGCTTTTCTGCACCCCCCCACCCCCTTGCTCTATAAATAGCTCCTGGCAGGCAGAAACAACCCTGATTGCTAGAGATGAAGGAGAACAAGCAGCAGGCTGTAGTGCAGAATCAATGGCACGGTGCCAAGAGCTTCATCAAATGAATAATAGCTTCCACTTGACAATCAGTAAAGTGCCTCTTCTCCTACGGATTTAGTTTTTAATGATGATTAGAGAGGATGGGCCCCTAAAATTTCTCTGGTAGAAATGACCTCCTATTAATTTCTGTTCCTTGAAATGCTGAATTTCAAAGCTATTTTACAGCTGCAAAACCAAAGGCACTGACATAAAGGAACTATTATCTTTGTAATTGTAGCAACAAGTACTAAATTTGTCATTGATTAACAGAGACTTTTTAACTTCATGATCCTTTGTTGGTTAAGTCCCCATTTGGAACTTACTGATTTACTTGCTTTGAAAGTCAAATGTTACATTTTAGACCCAACAAGCTATCAGAATAATGTCCTTTGTTTTAATATAATAAATACTTCCTTGTAACATCTTACATTGATTATTATGCAGTAAAGGGTGAAGGTCAAGTCAGAGCTTATTAATTCTATACAGTGTTTTGCTTTCTGGGCAGGTAACAAAATATTCTAAACAGATATGGTTAAAATACATATAGGAACACATTTATTAAGCAAAGAGCTTCGTCAGAATTTTAAAATTTCCTGACACATTTTCATCTGTGTGTGTGTATATAAAGTATATTTTCCAAGAGGAATTAAATGTAGAAGAGAGACTCTTAAAGAGTGGAAGCGTTTATATTAATATCAAGTGATGAGACGATAGGCCTACTGTGTCAAATTAGGCCATTAGTTATGAAGTAATGTCATAGGTATTGAAAATAACCTGTGGTATATCTCAATCATGTGATATGTGGCATTCTATTTTATAAATGAAAGTTTTGAATGTAAAGATAATTCCAGAGAAGACAATGGCACTTTACAGTGCTTTCTGTATAATGTTCTTAGTAGTTTAAAAAAAAGACATAATGAAATGCTTACTTGAAAGGTTTTAAAATTTAGGATGACTTTGAAAAGCCACAGAGTCCATACTGTTGAATTTCATGAATTGTCTGTCATACATAGGAGTTCATAAAACTTTTACAGAAATATTTAAAGTGGTTGAAAAGTTTAGAGGGAAATATTTATTAAGAATTTTAAAAAGTTGCCAAACCTCTGATTCAGGAGGCTGCCTGGTGATGATCTTTGATGTTCTTCTTCAGCATTTCCCAGAGAAATGAAAATGTAGTGAGTTTGTTGCTTAATTTGTTCAGTTAAAAGGACTTCCTTCAGAACTAAAATGTCCTTTCTTTTATGAAATAATATTATTAGTATATTTTACTTTTAAATGTCTTTAATTGATAAGATAAAAAGTTGGCAATTATTTGTAGGTTTTACCTTCACTTTAAAAAATATCCTGTGAAATCCAAAATTTATGCATCTGCTAACCTAGGAGAATTTGGAAATGAGTTGGCAGAGCTTTGCCTTTTATTAGATAAGCTGGTACAAAAAGTCTGTTATAGCCAGAGGTCAACCAACTGCATGAGGAAGAAATATGAAAAAAAATTTGCAAGCTGTGACACCCAAAAGAACAATAAAGCCATCAGATACTCCTGCAATTAGGTCATACATTTTAGAAAAAAAATCAATCAGGAATTAAAATAGGATAAAACTTTTAGGAACAGCAGAATGTCAGAGCTCTAGAGGGAAGCTTAAACACGTTACTTTCTTTTCACTGCCACTGATATCCATGTTACTCTTTTAGCAGAACCTGTAGAACACATCATTGTTTGAATGTAGTGGAGTTAAAATGAAAACAGAAATATCCTAACATTTCCAGCATTAGGGAACAATGCCCTTGCTACTATATTACCTATTTCCCAGCATAGGAATGAAATAATTTTGTACTTTATTAAAATATGGTTATCCTAGTAGGCCTACCAAGCTAAAACTCCTTTTTTTTTTGAGGAAGAGGAGGCAGCATTTCCTTTGAACTATGACTTAATTCCTGGTATTAGTCATCTAGGGAAGAGAGAGTTCTCTCTGAGAGGAACCTAGGACTGTCTAAAAGAATTAAGGGAAAAAAAAATACATTTAAAGGGAACGTGTGTGGGGAGGTAAGGGGAGTAGAACAGGCTGTTGTGTGGAATGGTTGAGTCATAGGCTTCCTAAGAATTAAGTCCCCTATCCTAGGACCACAGTCTTTATTCTGTCAGGTGGACTATTTCTATTCCTTGTGATTCTGTGTTTATTTTTCTTTCTGTTTTCTTTACTATTTAACAAATCCTGTCTGAAACTTCTGGCTTGGTTCAGTTGCATTAAGTGGCATAAAGAGGAATACTTGAATCTACAGAGTAGTTAAGGGAGGAGTGCCCCTCAGAGGCCAGTGTGATGTGGCACGACGATCCAGAGTGGGAGACTGCCAAGAAGATCAAACTCAGAGGAACAGAGTCATATTACTTGGTAAGCTTCTTATTCCCACCAGGAAAGTCTTCTTTCCAGTACCCATCCTGGAAGGATTTAGGCAGAGATGGCTACATCATTTGTAGGGCCCAGGGCACAATGGAAGTGTGGGGCCCCAGCTAGGGGTAGGGAAGTCAGTCTCCTTTTCATATAAACCTGCTCCTGCCCGATTTACTGCAGATGGAGTCCTGCGCCAGGCCTCACTGGATACCTGGATGGGATTCAGGAAAAGATCCAATGGAGTCATCCACTGAACGCACTGGCACCCTGTATGCAGTGGGGTGCATACCTGACCTGGACCCATCAGGGAGCAGGGAGGGCCGTTGGAGGAGGGAGATGTGGCCTCCTCCAGCCAATTCAAACTGTGCCCCCCTCCAGCCAATTCAAACTGTGCCCCAGAGAGAAGCAGCAGCAGTGGTAGACCAGAGCTGGGAGAATTTCAAGGAGGCCACCCTAGGGCATTAAACCCCAAACACAGAGCATTAAACCCCCAGCAGGGCCCTTCTGAACATGAGACCCCGTGGACTGCACTGATTGTACAGCCATGAAGCCAACCCTGAATGTAAGATACATTTTATTAAGGAAGATACTTGGCCTTTATGGCTATACTGTGGCCTTGACCCTCTTCTCCCTAAATATTTGTTGTTGTTGTGATAGTTGTTTACTTTTTTATCCATTTGCTCTAGTATAATGAAAACATCAGTGCTTGTTCA